ATGAACGTGTGAGCGAGACAGAAAATATTTTTTTCTCTGGCTTGTAATTGTGTGAGTGAGGTTATTTCTGTTGAGCGTTTGTTTATTTCTCGCCGATGTAAACTGAAATAAATGTTAATGTACAGATTCGCTGATGGAATTAAATTGGAGCAAAAGCATCATAAATTAAATTCAAATGAATCCAATTGTAATTATTTAATTTATTTTGAGTTAAACATTTTCCTATTTACTGTGAGTAAAATCTATCGGAATTATTTAGGGGAGATTGGCATTAAATATGATGAAATTTCAGTGCATATCGGACATTTTAATTAATAATTTCCCGAATAATTATATATGGATTACAAACAGTTATCAGGAAATTTTCAGACATTGTTAAATGACATAATCTATTGTTTATCTCACAATTATTTTTGGATGTTATGGAAATAATGAATTGTAGCTGTAAATAATGCTGATATTTTCAGCAAAAATTTAAAATTGTTATTTTATATTTTGGTAGATTTGGGGTTCCGGGCTAAAAGGTTAGCAGCACTGCATGGACAAAGATGAGCTCACGAATCGCTCATGTTGAGATTTGTACCCAAGATTTTGTAAGATTTTTGTTCTACCTTTACATGCATAATTAGAATAGTAAACAAATCGCATAGTTTTGAAGGTCATGTCTATGACGTAAATAGCTGATGCCAAAAAAATAGAAGAAATAGAAACAGAAAGCAAGAAGATGTTTTTACAACATTCATTTCCATTACATCAATTGACCGCTTTTTATTTTCTCGCGAAATATTATTTTTTCAGCTCCTACTCCTGCTTCTTATCTTCTTTTATGACATTGCATCCATCCTCTTACATCATCTTTCATTCTATCGTAAAATTGTTTTTCTTATCGTTTAGGAGGAGATAAGGAGGTGCAACTTTTAGTATTGCAAAATGAGAATTGAACTGTGATTTCAAGGATCCTAGTAAATAATCAGTTTTGACTGTGTGGAAGATTAAACTCTGGACCAAATTGCAACTTAAGTTGACAGATCTGAGATTGGTTTCTCCTCAAAAACCTGATGTTATTCAAGTCCTTAAGTCCTAGAGTTGATTAAAAATCTCATTAGTTTCCTGACCCCCGCGTATCCATCGGATACGATATCAATTGCTTTCCATCCATCGCTGTTTGTTTATTTTTTTCTCAAGTGCCTTCAATTTATTTTTACAGCATATAAGAGCGATCGTCAGAAAGAAAGAAGACGAAAAAAAATTCATAAAAACATGAAGATTAAAGTCAACTAGGGTAGGAGTAGCGACAGAACAGAAACAAACATTTAAACGCACAATCGTAAAGTCAAAAATTTGATTGCCATGCCCAATTCATTTCACTTTTCGCATCGTCCGTATGTTGTATCATAAAATTTTACAGTGGACCTCTTAAAAAGAGAAATAATAATGTTTATGTACGTATGGTTGAATGGCTGTACGTAAAAAACATAATAATATAAGAATTTCAACGACAGGGAGGAATGTATGAGAATAAAAATTGAGAAAATGAAGAGGACAAAGGAGATGCTTGAGAATCAATTATCGTCAACGCTTGTTGATACGATCGCTTTAGATTGTTTGTTTGCTCTTTTATCTTGGCTATAAAAATTACGAGTTTCATTTCATTTTACAAAATGCTGTTTTTCGTTTCGTTAAATTATCGAATATAAAAATTTCATGACCATATGTAGGCAGGCATGAGTTACTTATTAACTTGTGATCTTCTTTAGGTTTTATTTTGCAATAATAAAATTTACTCGATGAATTAAGAAAAGGATTACGAGTAATTGAGTATTTAACCCGTCAAACCCTCATGGATTGAGCTAGTTTTAGACCAACTCTGAATGCGGCAATGGGTTTTCAAGTGTCTTAGCTAAGGATTTAACTTAGTAAAACCCTAATTATTTGCAAACGAACTATAATCCTGATTTGCCGGGTGGCAAACATTTCAATGTGTACCGATCGGGAATCAGTTGCAAGTTAAATCACATCAGCTTTAAAATTCTAATCTTAATCACATTTTCTTAAACCACAAACTTATAAGCTTTATAAAGCTTATCACTTAATTAATAAATCTTTTTCTGAAAGATTCAAAGCCAAATATAGCGGTGAAATGGCATAAGTGGCCTAAATGTGAGAGCGTTGGCCTTACGTGCCAAAGGTTCTGGGTTCAATCCCAAGCCATGTCTAATTTTTGAGGATTCACTTTTTTCTTCGAGGGTTTTCCAAATGGATTGAAACTTTGCATAAATATTTAAGTGCTTAAAACAAATACAAATAAAACATTCTAAAATTTTTTTGAGCAAAGAACCAAGTAGGAAATACATTTTCAATTTTGGACTAGGGGCGACCCTAGTAAAAATAAATTTTGTCACTTTTTTCTTCGAGGGTTTATCCAAATGGATTGAAACTTTGCATAAATATTCAAGTGCTTAAAACAAATACAAATAAAACATCCTAAAATTTTTTTGAGCAAAGAACCAAGTAGGAAATACATTTTCAATTTTGGACTAGGGGCGACCCTAGTCAAAATCAATTTTGTCACTTTTTTCTTCGAGGGTTTATCCAAATGGATTGAAACTTTGCATAAATATTCTAGTGCTTAAAACAAATACAAATGAAACATTCTAAAATTTTTTTGAGCAAAGAACCAAGTAGGAAATACATTTTCAATTTTGGACTAGGGGCGACCCTAGTAAAAATCAATTTTGTCACTTTTTTCTTCGAGGGTTTTTCCAAATGGATTGAAACCTTGCATAAATATTTAAGTGCTTAAAACAAATACAAATAAAACATTCTAAAATTTTTTTGAGCAAAGAACCAAGTAGGAAATACATTTTCAATTTTGGACTAGGGGCGACCCTAGTCAAAATCAATTTTGTCACTTTTTTCTTCGAGGGTTTATCCAAATGGATTGAAACTTTGCATAAATATTCTAGTGCTTAAAACAAAAACAAATTAAACATCTTAAAATTTTTTTGAGCAAACAACCAAGTAGGAAATACATTTTCAATTTTGGACTAGGGGCGACCCTAGTCAAAATCAATTTTGTCACTTTTTTCTTCGAGGGTTTATCCAAATGGATTGAAACTTTGCATAAATATTCTAGTGCTTAAAACAAATACAAATAAAATATTCTAAAATTTTTTTGAGCAAAGAACCAACTAGGAAATACATTTTCAATTTTGGACTAGGGGCGACAATAGTCAAAATCAATTTTGTCACTTTTTTCTTCGAGGGTTTTTCCAAATGGATTGAAACTTTGTATAAATATTCTAGTGTTTAAAACAAATACAAATGAAACATCCTAAAATTTTTTTGAGCAAAGAACCAAGTAGGAAATACATTTTCAATTTTGGACTAGGGGCGACCCTAGTCAAAATCAATTTTGTCACTTTTTTCTTCGAGGGTTTTTCCAAATGGATTGAAACTTTGCATAAATATTTAAGTACTAAAAACAAATACAAATAAAACATCCTTAAAAATTTTTTGAGCAAAGAACCAAGTAGGAAATACATTTTCAATTTTGGACTAGGGGCGACAATAGTCAAAATCAATTTTGTCACTTTTTTCTTCGAGGGTTTTTCCAAATGGATTGAAACTTTGCATACATATTCTAGTGTTTAAAACAAATACAAATGAAACATCCTAAAATTTTTTTGAGCAAAGAACCAAGTAGGAAATACATTTTCAATTTTGGACTAGGGGCGACCCTAGTAAAAATCAAGTTTGTCACTTTTTTCTTCGAGGGTTTTTCCAAATGGATTGAAACTTTGCATAAATATTTAAGTGCTTAAAACAAATACAAATAAAACATTCTAAAATTTTTTTGAGCAAAGAACCAAGTAGGAAATACATTTTCAATTATGAACTTGGGACAGGTCTAGTCAAAATCTAGTTTTTCAATTTTTTCTTCGAAGGTTTATCCAATTACAGTGAAACTTTGTGTAAGTTTACTAATATTTATACAAAACAGTTTTAAATAACTAAAGCAAAAAATGTATTCTATATGTCGTCAGACCTAAATTTTATAAATTTGGTTCAACATATAAAAACAACGTGACTTAAAATTTTTTCAAAAAAATGATTTTTATTAATTCAAAAATGTGTGACTTGAGGATTAGAATGCTCATACAAAGTTTTACTGTATTTGGATTTATCCTCAAAGGGAAAAAAGTGAAAAACGAGATTTTGACTAAACCTGTCCCAAGTTCATAATTAAAAATGTATTTCTACTTGGTTCTTTGCTCAAAAAAATTTTAGGATGTTTTATTTGTATTTGTTTTAAGCACTTGAATATTTATGCAAAGCTTCAATCTATTTGGAAAAACCTTTGAAGAAAAAAGTGACAAAATTGATTTTGACTAGGGTCGCCCCTAGTCCAAAATTGAAAATTGATTTTCTATGGTGTACTTTTGTTCAAAAAAATATTTTGGATGTTTTATTTGAATTGACATAATTTTGACATAAATCACATACCAATATTACTTTTTGTAATGCATAGCTTAAAAAAAATCGAAATCTAAAATTTCGACTACCCCATCTGAATTTTGTTCATACTCTTCACTATGGAAACCAAAAAACAAATTCTTTATCTTAAAAGACTTGACAAAATAGACAAAATATTAATAATATTTTAACTTTTACGATAAAAAGGTGGTTCAAATAAGTGTGAAGTATGGCCGAGATTTGGACCAAAATCAGCTATACTGGTTCATAGTGTTCCCGAGGGTGATAAAATTCAAACTAAGTGTTTTTGTAGCTGACATAATTATGACATAAATTAGGTACAACTTTTGAACTGTGTCGATATGGGTCTCGACCGTACTTCACGCTCACCCTTCAAACTTATGCTGAGCATATCTTGGTCTATCCATAAGACTTTTGATGGTACGGTGTGAATATATCCGCATTGGGTTTCTACCCGATACACTAGTTTTTTGAGGCTTTAGTAGTCAACAGTTTTTGTATCTCAATAGTTTAATAAGGATATCGAACCAATGATTGGAAGGAATCCATTTGTATTAGCAGGACAAGAGTGGAAGGAAAAACGCAGTCAAATTACCCCAGCATTTTCGAACAATAGAGTAGGTTTGACCAAAATTGCACTTTTTATTTAAAAAGAAAATTAACAATTCATTCTCAGCTCCGTGCCTGCTTCCCACTTGTCGAAGAAGTTCTAACTCGATTTACAAAATATATTAAGAATGAACATGAAAAAGACAAAAAAGCTCCATTAGAACTTCGTGAAATTTGTGCAAGATATACAACTGATGTTGTTTCTAGCTGTGTTTTTAATGCTGATGCTCAGTCATTCACTAAAGAAAATTCAGAAATTCGAGCTATGGGGAAGAAATTCGTTGAGGCTTTGTCATCTTTTGGATTAGTTCAATTTCTTTTGACGTCACTGTTTCCTGGAATCCAAAAGCTTCTGAAGATGAGAATTATGGATAAAAAATCTGAAGACTTCTTCATTAATTTGATGCTACAAGCTGTGAAGCTTCGTGAAAGTAGCAAAATTCAACGTGATGACTATCTTTCATTTTTGATTGAACTGAGGAAGAAGAAGTCAATTTCGGATATTGAAATGGCTGCTCATGGAGTCACATTTTTCAGTGATGGTTAGTGAAAATTGAGAATATTAGTTATGCATGTAAATCTTTGCATTTATAAATTTATTTAAGGTTTTGAGACAAGCTCAATAGGAATTTCACATATTTTGTATGAGGTAAGGAGCCATCCTAGCCTTCCTTTTTGTACTATTGCATTAAGACAATTTAAATTTGTATGGATAGCTGGCAGGCAGCAAAAATTCACAACAAAAATTACGTAAAGAAATCAACGAAATGATAATCGATGAAAATGGAAAAATCGTGTACGAAAATATGCTTGAAAATGAGTATTTAAATCAAGTCTTTTATGAGGCATTGCGACTTCATCAACCTCTTGGGATTTACAATCGGGAGTGTACAGAAGCTATCAATTTAGATTGTGGAAATGGAAAGGTTTTCAAAATTGAGAAAGGAATGGGAATTAACATTCCAATTCACTGTTTTCATCGTGATCCAGGTACATCCTTTTGAGTTTGAATAATCCAAGATTTAAGAATATACTTTATTCCAAAGAAAATTACACAAATCCGAATGAATTCATCCCTGAGCGTTTTGATCCTGAGAATGGTGGAATAAAGGCATTTCAAGACCGTGGTGTTCTTGCGCCTTTCGGTGATGGTCAAAGAATCTGTCTGGTGAGCCAAACCTTAAAGTTCCTTTTATGTCATAAATAATTTTTAATCCACAGGGAAAACGTTTCGCACAAATTCAAGTAAAAGCAGCAATTGTTGATATTATTAGGAACTTTGAATTGAGTATCAATGAGAAGACACAACGTCCTTTGACGATCGAACCAAATCATTTGTTGAATGTAAAAGTTGGCGGATTGTGGATTAATGTAAAGCCACTCAAGTGATCGGTTGAATAAAGACATGACTTGTTATGAAGTTTCATGTGTTTAAATAAATATTTCTGCATGTACATGGCATAAAATGGATTAATCGTGATTAAAATTGTAAAGATAGAACGTATTTTATCTTATCAATCGAACTTTTTACGTCATATTCAGGCAGTGTTTGTCAAATTTTATTCACGACAACCTTAGTGAAGTGTTCGATGGGAATCGAACCCATGACCTCAAAAGATGCTATCTTTAACCACTCGATCAGAGATCCCTGCCACTCAGCCACCGAGGTACTTTTCTCACTTCAGGTATCCGTCATACACATATAACCAGTTTCAACGCGAGTCCTATGCTCAGGCCTATCTACTACAGATATGCTCTTCAAGTCATATTCACATTTAGTTGTTTTATTTCCATACCAAAAAGTGCCAATAGTTTTACAGACCTTGAAAATAACAGAACAAAAAAATAAGATATGATAAATTTTTTTCCATTCTTAATTCTATTTATTCAGTTGTATTTTAAAGTTCAAGCAGTGCAGACAAACTAATAAAATGTGGACAGTTTTGATTTTAATACTGAGCGCAGCTTATTTATTTTATAAATGGTATACTCAAAAATATGACTATTTTGAGACACGCGGAATTCCTTATATAAAAGCAAAATTTCCTTTAGGGAATTTGCCAAATGCAATTTTATTTATGAGGAATTTTTTGTATGATTTTGATGACATTTATCAGTAAGTTGATGTCGGAATTTCTGTTATCTATGAATTTTTATCCAATAAGTCATTGTTTTGTTTACTGCTATTTCATAATGTTGATCAATCGCTGAATTTTTATATAATTTACAGACAATTTCGTGGAAAAGAGTCTTTAGTTGGATACTTTGAAACTAGATCACCACAGTTTCTGATTCTGTCACCAGATATTGCCAAAAAGATTTTGACCACACATTTTGCAAGTTTTCACGACAATGAATTTAGTAATTTGGTGAGTTTTGCCTCATATTCTTATCATATTTTATGTCTAACTTATTATATCCTTAGTTCACTGTTGAAATGGAACCGGTGATGGCTAGAAATCCATTCATCTTGAAAGGTCAAGAATGGAAGGAAAAACGAGCAGAGATTACACCTGCATTTACTAGCAGTAGAGTAAGAATCTCAATTAAAATAATCTCCATATGAATCTCTATAAATACTTTTAATTAAATCAGCTTCGTGCCTGCTTTCCACTCATTGAGGAAGTTCTGATAAAATTCACAAAATATATCAGAGATGAATTCGAAAAAGATAACAACAAAATCTTTGATGTACGTAACATTTGCCATAGATTCACAGTTGATGCTGTATCCAGCTGCATTTTTAACGCTGATGCTCAGTCCTTTGCTTCGGAGAAACCTGAAATAGCAGAAATGGGAAGGAAACTTGTTGAATTTCATGGCATCATCCAGTTTATTCAATTCATGCTGATTTCAATGTTCCCAAATATCCGAAAGTACTTTAAAATGCCCATGGTCGATAAAGTAGCTGAGAACTTCTTTATAAATTTAATGCAACAAGCTGTTGAACTTCGTGAGACCAATCCAATTCCACGTGAAGATTTTATGTCATTCTTGATAGAGCTAAAGAAGAAAAAGTCAATTTCTGAAATAGAAATGGCAGCACATGGAGTTACATTTTTTACCGATGGAACTGAGACTAGTTCGTTGGCAATTGCCCATATTTTATATGAGGTAAAATTGACATTAATTACCACGTTTTTTATTATTTGCATCGAATAAGGATTTTAATTTTAAAAATTAATCATACTTAGCTTGCTGACAACAAAAAGGCACAAGGAAAGCTGCGTAAAGAAATTAACGATAAAATTATTGATGAAAATGGAAAAATCATATTTGATAAAATGCTCGATAGTGAATATTTAAATCAGGTTTTCTACGAATCACTTCGACTTCATGAGCCGATTGGAATATACAATAGGCAATGTAATGAAGAAACTGTCTTGGATTGTGGAAATGGCAAGCGATACAAGGTCGAAAAGGGAATGAGTGTGAATATTCCTATCCATTCCATTCATCGTGATCCAGGTTAAGTTTCCTGTTATTTTATATAAAAACTATTGACATTCTTACTGTCCAGAAATATTTTTAAAACAGATTACTACTTAAATCCAAATGAATTTATCCCTGAGAGATTTGATCCAGAAAACGGCGGACCTAAAGCATTTGAAGATCGTGGTGTGTTGCTGCCTTTTGGTGATGGTCCGAGAATTTGTTTGGTAAGCTATTGTAATGTTCGTTTACAAGAGGAAGTGCAGATCTAAGTTTTACATTTTTCACAGGGAAGAAGATTTGCTGTGATTCAAGTGAAAGCAGCTGTCGTTGAAATTATAAGGAATTTCGAGATGTCAGTTAATGAGAAGACCCAACGTCCATTAATCATCGACACAAGTACGTTCCTGAATGCCAAGAAAGGAGGATTATGGCTAAATATTCAACCAATAGTATAGAAAAAATTTCGGTCCACAAATAATAAAGATATATTCCAAAACAATAAATTGTATCTGCACTTTCCATTGCCAAAAAAAAAAATCTTGTATCTGGCACATCTACATGTTGCTTACTTGTTTCAGCCAAAAATATTTAATTTAGTCAGCACATTTATTTTGCCGGCATCAACATGTTGCTACATGGTAGTAAATTTATACAACTGTATATGAAACAGCTGTTCGATTTTGTCGTATATTAACAAAAATTATCATAAGCATACATATGAATCTGTGACGGTAAACAGAATGTCTGAATATGTGAGACTGAATTGTAGCTTGTGTAGAGTAGAAGTATATGTAATGGTAATGAAGTGTGTTGATAATTTTTGGGAATTTTTTATATTAATGTCTAGATATAAGAAGTGGATGGTGAATCAATTTTTGGACCATGACCTTTTAAAACCTTAACATAAGTGACCTTGAAAACAAAACTTAGAACTTGTTTCTTTAAAAAATCAATTTTTTTGCCTTTTATTTTAATAAACTTTCACATTTTCTTCTTCAAAAATTGAATTCCAAACATCTAGCACATCCTTCTCAGGAAAGACTCCAATCTCAAAATTCTTTTCATTAATTGTCAAGCAATTAAACTCTTCAGTGACAGGTTCCCACACAACATTTTCTGCTGCAGTGTTTGGATCTCCAGTGAGCAGGAAACTCTCAATTAATTTTGTCATTTTTTCCATCATTTTATACTCAATACTGTTGGGCTTGGGTGCCTCGACATAAGAACTGTGAAACAATTTATTTAATAAAATTTTATATGCTAATTCAGTCGAATGGAAGCAACAAAACTCACCTAGACAAAAAGTACAAACTCATGTCACCGTGTGCTGCACCTGTATATTCAATTTTTCCGATTTGCTTAATTAAATTCATTTTTGTATTTGCATCGAATCTGAACATGAAAGTTTTACCGCCAGCTTTAATTCGTTGCTTGATTGCATTGTAAACTCCATGCCAGATTTGGCGATCACCAGCATAGTCTAGTAAAAGTTCTAGATTTTTCATTGTCACAGGCTTGTCTTCAAAATATATTTCTTTTAACATTTGTCCATACTTAATTGCGTTGGGGCTGTTAATATCAATATTCAGTTCCTTTGATGGACAAAAGTATTGTGGTTTTTGTAACAAGTCGATAGACTTTTGATTTCGATTCAAAAAGCTAAACATAGCACCTTCAATTGTAGCAGCTCCAATCATGCAAGCAATATCTGTTGACCAGATTCCTTCTTGTGCCATTAATACTGGATCTTTTGGAAGGAAGCAATTATTCCCAACATAAGGCTCAACAACAGGTTGAAATCCGAAAATCATGAATTGTGAGAACTCATCCTCAGTAAATAAATTTGTAACATCACCAAACTTCATTAATGTATGTGGATTAGCCTTTTGTAAAATTTCAAGCATTTTTGCCTCACCACCATTTCCGTCCCATCCACATCGTTTCGCTAATCGTTCTGCAAAGTCACTTTTATCAATGACACCCCATGACTTGATAAAAGCAGATCCGGAAATGAGAATAGCTTTTTGAAATAATCCACGTGATTGCTCGGATATCATGTGGAGATGTATGCTTACAGCCCCAGCACTTTCACCGCACAGTGTGACATTATTTGGATCACCACCGAATGCTTTTATGTTTTGCTGAATCCATTTGAGTGCAAATACTTGATCTTTAAGACCTGCGTTGCCAGGAATATTTAGGGATGGATCATTAAGACTTAAGAATCCCAATACACCAAGTCTATAATTGAATGTGACTAATACAGTGTCACGTTCGACTATGTAATCAGGTCCACAGAGATCATGACGGCTAGAACCGCTGAAGAACCCACCTTTGTTTATAAATTAATGTTATTTACAATGCTGAGTCATATATCGGCTACTAAAACTTATCTTAGTATTATCTAATCTTATCACTTACCGCCGTGAATATATACAAAAACGGGCAACAACCGGTCTTTTTTAAGTGCATTAATACGAACAAATACATTAATTCCAGCTGCATCTTCTATTCCACTTCTTAAACCTATAAAATTGCAGAAACTTGAACAATCTTTTGTGCAATCTATTGGAATTGTCCATGACTCTGGTGCCTGTGGATCTCTAAAACGCAATTCTTTAACTGGCTGTTGCATGAAAGGAATTCCTTGAAAACTTAAGTATTCCTTCTCTAGCTTTGAAGTTCTTATGGACCCTTCAATCGATCCATATTGTGTGTGAACCATTGTTATCGTCATTTTTAATTGACTGTTAATAAACTGTACTAAATTGATTGAATGACTCAAATAAACTAAAATTAAAATCCAAACTCGATGTTGATTATAAACAACTTACTGCTGTGCTTGTGATGTACACAAAAAATACATTCAAAGAGTTTTTTTTGGCACATTTTGTAAACATTTGACCAAAAAAGGAAAAAAAAATTGCCGTGAGAACCGGCACTCATTCTATGAAATATTTACTTCAAACGTAACATGGACCTACACATGTTTAAGTAGCATTTATTATCTCTATTTTATTTACAGTTTTTGGAAAGAATTTAACTCTCTCGCAAAGAATAATTGAGCTAAAAATGTAGTTGTGGTAGTGAGAATCTACAAAATTTAATTATCAGCATGTAACTTGAGATTAAATGTCCATAAACGAATCGAGAATATCAACATAAATTGTGCAATATCGTCACTGAAATGTCCATCAACAGCCATAAAACATAATAATCCATTCAATAAATCAGCTGATATAGCCCAAATCTCGATGCACCCTTAATGACTTTCCTTTTTGCTGACAGCCATGTAAAAGTATCGAATATTTCTCCTCCAATGCTATGGCAAAATTTATGAGATATTTTATGTCCATGGATGACATGCCATGTAATGTCCATATCATTATCATTCGCCATTCTCTTTAGTAGTGTTTTAACAGCATAGCTTCCAAGTCCAGTTCGCTTTTTTGATGATTTTACGACACCCATTCCAATTGAACAATAATCCATTTGAAAGCACCATGCAATGAGCTCATTTGTGTGCTTGTCGAAAATTCCGACTGACATTTTGTGTTCAATTGAATTTTTAACGTAGTTTAAATGGTCACCGCCATCACGTGGACTCTCGTTATTTATTTCATCGACATGATTTGAATTTAATGGTTTAATGATGTAATTTTCTGGAAGGCTGATTAGAATCAATGAAGCATCTAATGTAAATATAGAAAAACAAACGTTTTACCTTTCAATTTTCAATGACTTTGTGTCATTGTTTGACATCCAGTATCCACTGGTTCCCTCCTCGAAAATTCTCTCTAAATTATTGTACCATAAAAAGTCATGTAAAATCGTTCGGAATTTGTCAGATATGCATACAAATGTTATTTCATCTTCGACATCCAAAGCATCAAGCGTTGACCTTATGCTCTGATAAGGTGTTCTTTCGAGAGTATTGAAATAAACTCGCGATTCATTTTTAATTAAAATTGTTCCATTTCTGCTCCAATTGTCATCCAAACTTAAAAATTCAACTCGCTTTTCAAGCTCCGGTGTCTTTTTGATGCGATTGAGAATGTTTGTAATGGCATTTACTGTCGTTGAATTCAATGTACGATCTGCACCGTACATTTGCTTTAAAACTTGTAATTTTTCGAATGGAATCTTTGTGAGCTTGCTCATCGCTTTAGAAAATGTTTAATACTAATGTCAAGTGGGTAATTTTCTAAGATTTTTATAAACAAAAAATTGTGTGATTACTGTGCGTGCTTACATATTTGTATGTAGATTAGGGATTACAAATCTACCGATTAATGTTTTGGCAACTTTAGTCTAATTGGTTGTGAACCTTCGTCATTGGTTATCTTTAAAATTAAAAACCGGAGACAGTAATTCAGTTGCATAAATTGGGCATCACTAAGTCACTTACGTTAGTATTAATAGACTAGTGAGACATAAAAATTTATTACCGCTAAAGCTACATAGTTGACTAGTCATCCGATTATGGTTAGAATAGTCATACAACCCCTAATATAGATGTATACTTGATTACCATGACACAAAATGATTTTATAGAAATAATTTGAGTGTTGATAATTTTATATAAATAGAAGCAAGCTTGACTGATGTAGTCAATGTCTAAAATTATATTGAGGTAGGTAAGTACGCATTTAAATTTTATGCTCAGTGATGTAATTTTTTTCCTGATTAGCTCCATTGATTAAAGGCAAAATTAAAGATTTTTTTTTAATTCAGGATGGTAAATAACAATCTAGATTATTCAGGTGTAAATTTTAAATTCAATAAATCACTCGTGCATGTAAATTAATATGCATCAATAATTATTGAGTTTCAAATAATGTCCTATATTGAATAGACCTAATTAAAATTATTGGACACATATTCAATTTCGATAAACAATACCTCATAAATAACTAAAGTTTTGGTGCTATTGGTTACAAATAAAAAATATCACAAAGCCTATTATTCTATAAGCACCTCCTCCATATCTATTTAATTATAAATTGAAACTTCATCATCCCTAATTTATTTAAATCAGCCCAATGTTTAAATGATATTAAATTTTACATTACTCAAGGTTAGATGTCAACAATAATTAAAGCAACTTTATTAACTTTAAAGTATTCAACCAGTTAAAAAATAGAAATTAAATTGCCACCTCCCAACTTTTCAACATAATTATAATAATCGCCCATAAATTCCTAAATGACTTAATTATATTATGAATCTAAATAAGAAGAGGATTATTTATCTCCATGGAGTTAATTCTGTAGCGTCAATCATGTTCTGTAATAAGGGAGATGAGGAAAAATGTCACGATGAGTTATTAATCATACAAATGTTGTTTACCACATTTTAAATTACTCTTAGGGGTCGTTTACTTATGACGTCCGAATTTAACGGTCATTTTTCATAAAAGAACAATGGATTTCCAGGAATTTCTATTGTTATTTTCTTGCTGACCCCCCCCCCCCCACACGTCATAAGTGAACGGCTCCTTAAGTATAAACGCGAAATAAGTGAAAATATTGAAGATTGAGTGATCGGAATCGACGCTGATTTTGGCGGGAATTATGTGGACTTTATTATTTTTTGAGGTTCATCACTTATTATATTGTAGACAACAAAAATTATATTTATAGTATTAAAGATATTATTGCATAGCCTTAAGCTGCACAAAACAATCGACCTAGTTAGCAATCAGACAACATTTATTATGGACATTCCATACACAATCAACATTTTATTTTACTTTGTATAAAAACATTTAATTATTGTGTAACTGGCATTTAATTAAGTCAGTATCGTTCCTAATTAGCTCGCGATATTGAGTAGCGACAGTGTTTGTGATAAGGATTAAACGAATTTATGCCGGAGAGGTTAAGAGATTCATAAAGAAAAACACTTCTAATTACTTTTCTTGTAGCATCTGAAGGAGATTTATAATTTTGGAGCTGATTTTTTAAGAAGATTGTTGTGATTTCATTGATTTGTCTGGACGCTGATTTGAAATTCTACTGATTCAAACATGCTAGAGGTTCTCAATGATTATTCCCAAAACAGCCCCGAAAATTTCAATTATTTCGGATTAATTTAATTAATTGTGATAGAAATTACTTATAATTAATAATCCAATTGGGAACATTTGAACAATTTTATTTAATTAAATACAGCAGTTTAGGATTTATATTATTTCAATGACGCAATTGAAACAAAAAAAAGACTTTCAATCCTCTTAAGTATCAATATCAATACAAATATTAATAATAATACTTAATGGCATCCACAACCATACATTCATTTATTTGTTGCCTCCTTTTTCTTCTTTACGGTAATGATAATAATAATGATGATGATATTAATGGTAGGAGAATTATAAATGAAAAGTAATATTGGAAGCGACAAATCATGTTTCAGTACGACAACCTTGAAATTTTTTGAGGTTATGTTTGTTGGAACCAAAGAGGTCATTTGGGATTTATAAAATGGTCCGAATCAATGTGGTTATGTTGAGGAGGTGGGGGGGGGGGGGGGGGATCTGATGTGCATTTTAAGGCGTACCACAACACAGAGACGGCTCAGACGTAGAGACAAGATATAAAAAGTTTTTCAAGATTTATAGGTAGCAAGAAGTGAAATAACATAAATATCCATAGCAAAATGATTTCGTAATTTATTCGAATTCAGTTCTTCTTTCTTTTAGCACCTACTCTCCATTTCCATTCCTTCGAAACGTAATGATAATTCCAATGTCATTTTAAGTACATGTTCTTCGCTTGTTGTACACGATAATTTAGGATGGAGAAAGTGAATGAATGGAAAAACGATGTAAAAGATATAAACAAGCATTTTTATTTATTAGAGCGTGGATTTTTTTTCCTTTTTAGGAAAATTGGAAATATTAAGCTTTCTGTTCTTAGAAAATAATGATAAATGAGAAGGAAAGAATTGCAAGAAATTCAATTAATTTAATAAATTAAATTTTCTATTCGCAAATAACAAATTTCGTACTTAATAGTCATGGAAACAGATTGTCAGTTCAGATTCTAACCTAAAACAATAAATTCCATAACCATCAGACTTTAATGTATGCAGCATTATCTACATATATCCACAAAAACCAACTCGCGTGAATAAAAATTTATTTGAATACCCATTAACAATTCTTAACTTGACTATGCCAAAATGTAAACATCATGCATAAATTTCCATTGCATGAACACGCTAACGAAATTAAACATTCTAAAATTGCAATTCACAATTAAAATATAGTCACAATATATACATTTTATGTTCATTAGAAAGTGAATAAATGCGAAGAAGAAAAAGTGAATGAAAAACTTTTGTGACATTCCATAAATCTTTCTCTTAACGACGAGCCAAACACACAAAAAAAAAGAAAACAAGCATGAAAGAGATAGAGATGGAAATTATTGGTGGGCAAGTAGGGATGTCGATAAAATATCTAAAAGTATGCTTTGGATGTCGATACTCATACTTTTTTGGATAGTGGTGGTCTCAAAAATTTCTTAATTTAGTGTCAGGTTAACTAGTGTCTCATTATAGCACTTAGCAGGGGAAAAATGTTTTTGTATGGAAAAATTTAAAGGGGGGGGGGGGGGGGGGGGGGGGGGTGTATGGTTTTTTATAAAAACCCTAGCAAAATAAAGAAATGTCTGTTTACGTTGGGGGATTTGTCCCCTAAATCCCCCCCTCCCCCCTTGGCTACACGCTTGGAAGCTAGGGACCCTATAAGGAGAAGCTATTTAAGGTGTTTAAAGACACTCAAGAAATCAGAAATCTATCAGAACTACATTAAACACACAAGATTCAAAATCTGTCTTCGTCTACGTCCCTGCATTGACAAAACAAGCTTTATATTTAAGATTAGTAGTCAAATCGTCCAAGCTACAATAGCTATTCTTCAAGAAAAACTGCTAATCAAAATCTGCAATCAAAATGACATTAACATTTCATTTCATTGCACATAAATTAGTGAGTGATGTGCAACATTAATTTTCACGATTAAATTTTTTTGCGCTCCCTTCTCGCTCCCTCCTTTTGTTGCTATATTTGGTGTGTAATGTTGCGAGGAAAAATGTTGAAAAAGATTTATTGAGCGGATCTGAAATAAAAGAAAAAAAAAATGTTTAATATAAAAATTTTTTATTTTGTGGTCGGTGATGAAGAATCATTTGCTGTACAATTTCCCACAATTGTGGAAATTTTCATTTTGCATGTTCAGTAAATTATTCTGAAAAAATATGAGCGAGAAAAAAATATCTCATTTTCCTAATAAGAATGGAAAATTAATACTCGAAATTGTGGCAACAGAAAATGCCGATGTTGAAATTTATCAGAAACTTTTACACTCGATTTCACAATTTTCAGAGCCAGTGCTTATCGAAAATTACATTGAAGCTCTGATTTATATTGCAAAACCAAAAAGCTTTCTCATTAGATTTTTCATCGCATTTCCTCGACTTCCTTGTTCTTGTTAGCAATTGTTTTTGATGCGATGGGGTTGCAGCTATCATTTTTGTCTCCTTTCGTAATGTTCTATTTAGTGTTCCAATTTCATTTTCCTTATATCAGACATAACCCTAAACATCATTTCCAATTCCATGCAAGCGCCATTTCCACACCCTCACCCCAATTCACTCAAACTTGCATTATCTTTCGCTCATTTCATTCGCCTTATATTATGTTGATTGGATAATTTATTGAAGTGCGGAAGCGAACTGACAATTGGACATTATTTTTTTGTCATTAATGTTCCTTTCTTATCACTCTATGTGGTCATTTTAATTAAATTTATTTCATTTCAGTGAAGAGATTACGCATTCATATATTGGGGATGGTTTTCGAGGAATTGATCGACGTCATGTGGAACTCTATTATGTATGTGATTAAATCTGGTTGATGTGAAGTTTCAAAAGCTCTAATTTTAGGTGTGGGAAGTCGATAAAATTTTATGAAGGAATTTAATGTGAAAAGGTATTAGCTGAAATTAATTGGATTGTTTGATGATTGGATGTGGGTGGTAAGATGATGAGGTAAGAAAATTAAATGTATTTAACCTCAAATTTTTTAATTAAATTGCGTAGTTTTGAGAGGGTTGGGATCAGACAAAAAAAAAACTTTTTTTTATTTTCAAAATT